TGTACTCGACTGTTACATAGGGTGACAAAGTATATATATTATTAAAAATACTTCACAAGCTTTATATAGAGCAGGACATGATATAGTGTCTGACCTAACTAGACATGTGCGGGACCAGTCCCGGTCCCGGTTCCGGCCGCCGGGACCGGGACCGGGACCAAAAAATAGAATTTTACTGGGACCGGGACCAGGATCGAAAAACAATTTAGTGTCGGTCATGTTTGCCGTTGATAAGAAACATCGGCGGAAATACAAGTGAGAACTGCTCCAGATCTAAAACCGGCAGATTCTGCAACAACTTCTCTGACTATGGATAAATAACAGAAAAAGTAAGGTTACTTAGACTGGGTGTAGAACAAAAACCAAATTTAACACATTCGACGCGATTCGGTTTTATTAAAGAGTGGCTCTAGAGATTCATTTTCGTCTGAATTCATCTTGCGATAAATGCACTGCTTGGTCTTTTCATCCTATATTGATCTGTCGTTTTCTCTTTTCCATTTGTAATATCACATGTAGCGAAGTAACCATCCTGTAGTTTGGCGAAACTCCTGTGAGGTCATTTCAGCATGACATGCCATTCGAGAAGTTGAATCAGCAACCCAATTCAAGCGCGAATTCACTAATCGCAAGCTTGAAGAAAAGGAAGGATTTAAGGGCAATGTCCGCAGACGCTGTACTGGCTGCTTTGCGAAAGGAAGGGCACAACAGTCAAGAGAAGCGAGCTATGCGGTAGCAAAGAAAGTAAAAACGTTCTGTTGTGAGTAACAATTTTTTTTGTCTTGATTTTTTTAACAAGACCCATCATGCTATGGAATAACGGACTCAAAAAGAGTTCTGAAGGCAGAACAGATAAAGCATTATGTTCAGCCTCCTGTCTAAGAACAAAGAAAAATAAAGTGCTTTTCTATACAGTTTCTCGTTAAAATGTAGCGTGGCTCACTGTTAGGCCACATCGTAGCGAATGTGTTAACTGAGCCCAGGACTAAATAACAGAATTTCGCCGGAATCAGCAGCAAAAGGAAAATTTCCACTTGGACCGGGACCGGAACCAAATGAAAATTTTCATCGGGACCCAAACCGGGACCGCGACCGGGACCGGGACCAAAAAAAGTTGGTCCCGCACATGTCTAGTCGCGATGCATTATATTTATTCAAATATGAATTGATCATTTTACATGAAATAGACTTCAAAATTCTTCCAAAGACATTATTATTTTAGAGAAGAAATTGACAATAGTGCCCCGATGAACTTTGTGTATTACCAAGGGTGTGGGTGTCGGTGTGGGTGGGTGTGGTTGTGGGTGTGAGTGTGGGTGTGGGTGTGGGTGTGAGTGTGGGCCTAGGATATAGGAGTGGGTGTGAGTGATTTCTTCTTCCAGCCACACCCACCCACACCCGCACATCCACACCCACCCACACCCACACCCACACCCTCAACATTTAAATCTTTTACCAACAAAACTAAGCGATAAAGAATCTTGTAAAAATAAATGCAAAGATTGGTATCTTGCTTATGAAGCAAACAAAGGAGATGAAGGTATATTTTTCAAATAAATGTCAATAAACTTATTGTTCCGTATTTATAGGTTATCTTTTTCGTTGCCTTAAATGTAAGGGTGAACAATCGATTAGAAACGGAACATTTTTTGCTAACTCAAAATTATCATTACGACAAATTTTCGGATTAATGTATTATTGGGCAAGAGAAGAGGATTCATTAAAACAATTAACTCATGAATTAAGATTACTTTCACCACATACAATTATTGATTGGAGAAATTTTTGTCGCGATATATGCACAATAGAATTTGTCAATAATCCAAAAAAAAATAGGAGGTATGTTTCTAACAATTTTCACAATAATATAAGTAAAACCTCATTTAGGTCCCGGCCATATTGTCGAAATAGATGAAAGTTGCTTTGGCAAGAGAAAATATAAACGTGGCCGTCTTCTAAACTCTCAATGGGTGTTTGGTGGTATTGATATTAATGCTAAACAGGTTTCTTGTGTCGGTCGATCAGCGAGATGCTGCAACATTATTACCAATAATTAATGATTATATTTTACCGAGTACCGGTTATTTGATTATAATCTATCAATTAATGTGCATTTTTTTATTAGAAACAATAATCCATTCTGATGAATGGAGAGCTTATCGAGCTTTACAAAATGATCCTAATTATCATCATTCAACTGTTAATCATTCCGTCAATTTTGTCAATCCCAACACTGGTATCCACACACAAAATATAGAAAATACTTGGATGTTGGTGAAACGAAAACATAAAAAACAAGGCGGATTCAGCCGATCATTACTTGCCTCATATTTGGAATAATTTATGTGAGGAAAACAATTCGGTGATGAGCCTTTAAAAACTTTAATTTGCAAATTAGTTCTCTTTATCCTCTTAATTAACTTTTTTTCAATACAAATCAATGTTCATGTATGACATCTATTCTGAATATATAAATCTGTAGGACATCTTTTTCTGAATGCATCCTTTCTCCTAATAGTGTTGTGTTTATTAGCCAATAAATTTTCTTTCCTGTTCTGTCTTCATGTATATAATTATTGATAGTGGGGCTATTCTGCACATGTACCAGATAAAGATGTTTTCTGGTTCAATTCTACGTCTTCAACAATTAATAAGAACAAATTTACGTCGAAATTTATCATTTAAACAATTCAATGAAATAAAACCAATTATTAGTCGAAATCTTGCTTGGTTTTCTCAGCAACAAGTCAAACACACTTTTGGTTTGTCAGAAAATTTTTCAAATTTTATATAAAAAAAAAGAATAAGATTTTCAACTTTTCAATTTTACGATTGTTTACATCCTTTCAAATGCAATACATCTCGCTGATAGAATATACTTCATTCTATAAAATGTTACTGAGTACATTTTGAAAATAAAAGTACTAAAGTTTTTCAAGTAATTCCTGCTTGAGAAGAGACACTCGTTTTATACTTCAAAGATATTGAATCTGTGAAGTTTTTTTTGTTTAATTAGGTAGAAAATTAAGACGACGTTTAAGGATTTTTTGGACTACTACTGTCGTTGGTTTCGGAGCATTTTGTGGTTATCGTGGTTATCGCAATTATCAATGGTTTAATGAAATGACTGACTCTGATGAGACTATTGGTACTAAACCACGTGTTATCGTTCTTGGAACAGGTGAAAAATTCATTCAATTGTTGCTGATTATTTGAATAGATTTTTGTAGGTTGGGGTGCTGTACCACTTTTAAAACATATTGATACTAAAAAATATGAAGTTGTTTGTATATCACCACGTAATTATTTTTTAATGACACCATTATTACTATCTGTTAGTGTTGGAACAGTTGAAACTCGAACAGTAGTTTCAGCAATTCGTTCTCTTATTGGACCACGTATTAAATATGTTGAAGCACATTGTATTAATGTTGATCCAAAAGCAAAAATTATTTCATGTAATACTGATGAAGAACCACCAGTATCTCGTGGTGATTATGTGAAAAATATCCTTGTACCATCCAAACGTGAACGTGGTGCATCATCACGAGTAATTAAAGATTCTGGTAAAGAAAACTTGTTCAAAAAAAAACAAAATTTTCTTTTTTTCTACAATGAATTTAGCTCGGACTCGACCAGCATTCGATATGCAATATGATATCCTTGTTGTTGCTATTGGATCAGGCAATAATACATTTAACATTTCGGGTGTTGAAGAACATGCACATTTTCTTAAAGAAATTCTTGATGCTCGACGTATTCGTTCAGCACTTAGTGATGCATTTGAATCATCTATGACACCAACACAAACAGCCGCAGAAAAAAAACGTCTTCTACATTTTGTTATTGTTGGAGGTGGTCCAACAGGTGTAGAATTTGCTGCTGAAGTATGTCGTCTATCTTTAAATAATTTAATCGACATCAAAGATTTTGTTACAAAGTTAGATGGATTTCAATCGTTTCTGTTTGAAAGGGTGGGATAGTTCATCTTTAGAGAAGATACAATTATTGCTATAATTCTTAGGATAAAACGGATTTTTTTGTCGCTTGAAATTCACTGCTGTATTTAATTCTAGCTTGCCGATTTAGTTCGAGAAGATCTTCAATCGTATTTTCCACGGCTTGTTGCTAATGATGTAAAAATAACATTAATTGAAGCACTTGATCATATTTTATCAACGATGGTTTGGAATTTCTTTTTTTTTCTTGATTAACATCATTTTTTTTGTCTTCTTGTTTAGGACAAACAAATAAGTGATTATACCGAAAGGCATTTTCATCGTGAAAATATTGAAGTATTAACAAATACATTTGTAAAAGAAGTTAAACAACAAGAAATTGTTGTTCACATAAAAGATACCGATGAAGTTAAATCAATTCCATGTTCAATTGTTGTTTGGGCAACTGGAATCAAAGCTCGACCATTAACAAATAGAATTCGAGAAACAATTGGTTTAGATATTCAAAGCAATCGAAAGGGTCTTCTAACTGATCAATATTTACGAGTTAAAGGTATTGACGATGGTTCAATTTATGCTATTGGCGATTGTGCGACAATTCAACAACCAAAATTAGTTGATCGAATTCAATCATTATTTGAAGAAGCAGATACAGAAAATCGAGGAGCATTGAGTCTTCAACAGTTTGAAACATTAGTTAAACAGAAAATTAGTCAATTTCCGCAGGTATTCAAAGATTTCTATTTATGGATAAAAATATCCTTCGCTCATTTTTTTTGATAATTAAAAGAAGTCAAAAGAGTTTTTCAAAATCGCTGAGATTTGTTTTAAAACGAGACCAGAGATGCTCGCTGGGGCACCCATGGGGTGATGCCCCAAATGGGGATGAGGCGGTATATCACCCCATCACCTTACCCCACGAGGAGAATTTTTGAGAAATCATTTCCTACCCCTTGTGTGGACCATGAGACAAAAATTTTTTTAACCCCATGGTCTAAACGAGCTTCTAACACTTATGAAATCACTTCAAAAATAGATGAAAAAATTGTGGAAATTTTTCTTAGCGTCTTATTAGTCATATATTGTGCTACATCTTCTGTCTACACGTTTTCTCTTTCGTTCTGCGTTTTTCTTTCCTATTGCTTTTCTTTCGTCTTCAAGGAATAATATGAAGATATTCCTTTCTTTTGTTTTCTTTCTATACTTATATAGTTATCTTTACTACTTCTTTCATTTTTCGACCGTCCTTACTTCTTTTCTTTATCTTCCGTTCTCATCTTTTCCTCATCTACTTATTTCTTACTTCCTATACATATATAAACACGTTCTCTACGTTTTCAAGTAGTATTTTCCTCTGTTTTATTGCGATGCGCTTTATATTTCTCTTTTGCCATTCTTTTCTTCCTTTTTTTCTTTCATACGCTAATGTTACCTAGAAAAAATTAGAAATTCGATGTCACATGCGTCGCTTTTTTGTCATCATTTTTTTGTAATTAAATAACTCACGTCGCATTTTGCCAGCTTGTTTTGTTCTAGGAAACAACCGCGATAGAAGGTTATGGAACTATTTTTATCAAGGGGAACAGCTGACTCCATAATCCCCTGATTTTATTGATTGCCAGTGATTCTGCTGCTCAGAATCAGCTATTTTCCATTGGATTTTCTTCACTGTTGTAAGAATAACACATGATGTTGGCCGTGCCGATCTAGGTGTTAAGAATAGTCCTCTTTGATATGGCCCGAACAATCACATGTTTTCTGCTTTCAAAATCTAAGTTCAACCACTAGTATGTAGAAAAACAGACGAAATAATAAAAATCAATCCGAATGATTCTAGAATGACTCTGAGTGATTCGGGATGGTTGCAATGATTCCAAATGATTCTGCTGTCCAGAATCAGCTGTTTTCCCCTTGTTAAAATGACTATGTGCGATCAAAATAATTCTGTTTTTTTTTCTGCTGTGAAATATGATAGATGTTTTGTTCTGAGCTTTTGATCACTTTTTCTTCCCTTTTTTTGGTTATATATTTGCTCTTATCGTTTATTGTTTGTTCCTGTATGTGCGCTGATATCTTTTTCAAAAGATAAATAATCTTTTTTTTGTTTATCCCTTGGGTAGGGCGTGGGGAGCCTATGAGTGGGGGGTAAACGGAATTTCAAAAACATAGTGTCTCCATCGGTGGGGAGAATCATTTTTTAAAAATTGGCATTTGGGGTATCCTACCCATGGGAAGCCTATGGGCTCAATGGGGCGACGAAAACTACCACATGGGCATCTCTGAACGAGACTATCATATCACCAAACTTTGTAGACATCTATAAAGAAATATTTTAGTATCTTTTTAACTTTTTGATTTGTATAACATTCATTTTCGTTTCTTTCTAGTTTGAAATATTTTCTAAGAGTATTGAAAAAGCATTTGCAGAAGCTGATAAAGAAAAATCTGGTTATTTAACACTTGCTACACTTCGTTTAGCTCTTGAAAAAGCCGATCAAAAAATTCGCACATTACCAGCAACAGCTCAAGTTGCATCTCAACAAGGTCGTTATGTAGCTGATTTACTTAACCAATTAACTGATCTACAATCAACTAATTTTGAACAACAAAAATTAATGCCATTTCGATATAAACATATGGGTTCATTAGCATATGTTGGTGGTGATGAAGCAGTTGTTGATTTGACTGGTTCAAAAACATTTCAAGATTTATTTAGTTTTAAATCATTGTCAGGTCGTAGTGCTGCTTATTTATGGAAATCATTTTATTTTACTGAAATGTTTACTGCACGAACAAAAACATTACTTGCAGTTGATTGGATTCGTAATAAGTTATTTGGACGAGATATTAGTCGATATTAAAGAAAAACTCTGTAGTAAATTAATCAAGTTGAATGTTTTCCTTTTATTGACAGACAAAACACCTCATAACTGTAGAAAAAATGTTCATATTTTAATCTCATTTATTTTTAAATCTTTGATAAAAAAAGTCAAAAAAAATTTGTTCTCCATTTTTTTTCTTTTGATTATAATCAAATGTTGATACTAACTTTTATTCTTGTTTTGACATTAAATTAAGTAATGATGTCCAACTATTAAATGAAGATTTTACTTGATATTCAATTATACAATAATCATATCGAATACTTTCATTGTTTTTTTCAATTTGTTTGAATAACCAATAAATAGTAAATGAGTTTTCTGATGGAGAATTAATAAAAGGAATTATTCCACAGAGACGATAATCTAAATTTGACTAGTTAATAAATGGATGAAGCCATTCAAAATTTTCCAGTACTGTTTTTGACATTATTGTTGAACGAATTAGTTTATATTTCTTATTTACCGATAAATTTTTTCTATAAATTATATAAGTTGGTGAGTTTCAATTAAAACGAAAAATATAAGATTCAGAAAACTAATCAAGAAGAGAAAGACATACTTGATGTATAGATAGATAAGATATTTTTCTCATAAAATTCTTGAATTTTCTGTACAAATTCATTTTTATAGAGTAATGAAATAATTTCAATATTTAATTCATTAGTTATTGATGGTTGATCATAATAAATTGAAGCTATTTTAACTGTTGATAATGTTTTTTCATCGAGATTTATGATGATCATTAAATAGAATTTTCAATATATGTGAAAGTTCTTTACCATAAAAATCTTAATGAAATAAATATTGAATAAGTGCATAAGTATCGAGTTCGTTTGAATCGAATGGTGAAGTGGATATATCGAGTTGAATCAGAGAAACTAATGAATGATATTGATCGGAAGATGATGATGATGATATTATGGTTGAATTCGATGAAGAAGAAGAAATTTTTCAATGACGTTCTTGATTATTATTTAAAAGAATTTTTTTTCATTTTGTTAATTTCGATGATAAATCAAATTGTCCAAGAACAAGACGAAATTCTTTTCCAATAATAATTCATTGTCGTTGTTCATTATCTTCATGTCGTTCATTATTACTTGTTGAATTACCCATGATTATAACAGACCAATTTTGTATTACTGTATTTTTTCTTCTTCTTTTACTTTGTTTCGCTTTTTTTTTTACATATATCTTTCGTCTATATATAATAAAAAAAAAGATGCAACGAAGAAGAAACGAAAATGAAGAAGATAGAGTGTCTGTCTTTTTTAAAGAAAAGGTGTTGAATAAAACAAGATGTTTGTCTATGTGCATCGAAGGAGAACAAAATAAAATTTCTAAAGTCCTATGTTTTAGATATTTGTTTTTATTTTTTGTGAATGAATAAAACAATAATGGATCTGAGTATTATCAACGAAGATTTTTATCTATCCAATATGGCAGCATTAATTGACGATATTGATAGTAAGGAATGAAAATGTATAATTGATTATACAATATAATATAAACTATTTCTATGGTAAATACTTAATAAACTTAATAATAAAGGGTGGTCCAAAAGTTTCGACCCCTCTCTGTAAATTGACGTTATCTATATCAAATATTTTTTTTAGGTAGTTGATTGAAATATACAATTTTGTAGAGAATGAGACGAGCTATCATCTGGAAAAATATGGTTCAAATTGTATCGTAGTTATGAAAAGTTATGATCATTTCATTCATGAGAACTAAGCATTTTCCATATCACATTTTTTACAAAAACAAAATACGCTTGTAACGTCTGAACCGAAATATCGTTTTCTAGGTATTTTTATATGGTTCCATAGAGTTCAACGACCTTTACAAGAATATGGATGTCAAAAAAGTTCCGATGCTGCTTCCAATACAAAACTTGAAGGAAATCAGAAAATCCAATAAAAATTTAATATATCTTGCATTAGAGAGAGTATGTTGAACTTTCAATAACTTTAGCGGATCGACTGTTCCGTCTGTTTATGACGGTCGGAAATGTTATTTTCAGCTTTCCTATGTGACACTGCGTCTCGAAACATAAATTAACAGTCGATTAGCTAAAATTATTGCAAGTCAAGCATACTCGCTAATGCAAGATATGTGAGATTTTTATCAATCTTTCTGGTTTCCTCCAAGTTTTGTATTGGAAAGAGCATCAAAATTGTTTTTGATATTCATATTCTTGTAGAGCTTGTCGAATTCTATCGAATCATATAAAAAATTCTAGTAAAAACATGTAGAAAACAATGTTTCACTCGACTTTAATGACTCAAACATTAAAGAATTTTTTGTTTTTGCAAAAAATGTAATATGTAAAATGTTTAGTCATCATGAATAACTTGATCATAACTTTTCATAATCACGACACAATTTGAACCATTTTTTTCAGATGATAGCTCTGCTCATTCTCTACAAAAATGTATATTTCAATCAACTACCTATAAAAATATTTGATATAGATATCATCAATTTACAAAGAGGGGTCGAAACTTTTGGACCACCCTTTAGTTATCTTACTCAGACAAAATACATATTTTCAGCTGTATAATGAAAACTAATCATTTGACGATAGTTGAGAAACGCTTGAACTACTTAGATATGTGGTGGTTTTTTCTTCAACTCGAATTTCGTCACATAATTAATCATAGCAAAGACACAAAGAATTGAGGGCGTGGGTGTGGGTGTGGGGTATGGGTGTGGGTGTGGGTGGGCGTGGGCGTGGGTGAAGAGCATATTTATACCCACACACCCACACTAGAGTCTGTCGGGTCCAAATTTTTTGGACCCGGACCCGATTATTCAAATTTTTTTCTACCCGGGCCCGGACCCGGTCGCTTAAATTTTTTGAACCCAAACACAATGATAAATCAGTTTATATAATATAGTTAACAAGTGTTTTATTATTTTTTATCTATTTTCTAAACACATTCGATTTCTTCTTCATAAAACGAACAAAACTTTAAAAAAATTCACAGTTCATTGTATGCATCAAAGTTTTCTTCAGACCCGGACCTGACTCGGACCCGATCAAAACGAAATTTTTAGACCCAGACCCGGACCCGAGCGGGTCCGGGTCCTACCCGACGGGCTCTAATCCACGCCCACACCCTCATATGCAATTATCCATGAAAAGCTTTCGCAAACTTAATGAAGGTTACACAGATAAGAACCGCCAGCATTACTCTATCTAATGGTGAAAATCTGACTTCAATAACTAGAACCTACCGGCAGTTATTTAAAAAATGGTGGATGGCATTTTTAAGAAAATCCGACATTTAGTGGACTTCTCAATTTTAAAGCCAACTCCGACATATACTATATTGCTATAGTCAATGATGGAATTTTCTCGTTATAGAATTCGTATGATAAAATTTTATTAAATCTTTTGATCGTTTCAGAATCCGTTCTTGAAAATTATTTTAGTAATCAAAAAAAGACATGCAGATATTTTCTGTTTTGAAATTGAATGTTCTGTGATTATTTAATCGGCGATGCCGCGTTAAGCAAACCTCGTGCTAAAAAAGAATAACAATGATATTAATAATAATAATAATAATAATAGATTTATGATGTTTGTTTTTCTTACCATTCTGTTCGAGCAAAAGAATCGCATTGTACATAGTGTAAATACTTTCCGAATCAGCTCCACTTACTTTTGGCAATGAAGCAAAATCTTTTGGTGGCGACTTTTTCCATCGAATTTTATGATCGAATACTAATTTGTCTAATTCCCTACCCAAATCGATTGCAGCTTTGACAAGATTAGATCGACTACCGAGGGTAGCGATCAATGCTTTTCCATCCTGTGGTTTGAGAGCATTTAATGTGGCTTGGTCATGAATATTAGGCATGAGACCATTGATTTCAATAATGTTTTCAACAAATGTTTGACACATATTATTTGTAGCAGCATCATATTTGTAAAAATTTTTATCGACATTCGATGCCATAGAAATTAGTTGATTGAGCGTCAAAAGTTTATTTGGCGTAATTGGAATATCATACAAATCGATCAAGTCATCGGGTATCGTTGGATAACCGAGGGCAACGCGTTGTGTTTTCTCAAGTTTAAGGACAGTGCTAGCAACTGCATAGTGTCTTGCATTTCCGAGTATATGTCGTAGTACTTCGGGCCCAGTGCTATTCTGAATAGTAATAAGTAAATAATTGTGATAGATTTCATCGTAGTCAAGTTCAAGTTGTTTCTCGGAAAACTTCGAATCACTCAAAAAATTGAGCACTTTAACAATGAGACCTTGAACAGGTGTACGACCAAGTTGGATTTTAAGAATACGTTCATTGCCAATCGTCGCCAATAGATTTCGCACTCTTAAAGGCATTTTTGGATCGTCTTTTGCGGCGATAAATTGCAATGCATCAGTTTTGGACTATAAATAAAAATGAGACAATTATTTCAAGAGTGTTAATTCAAGATTGAAGCTAGCTAACAGAATATTTCAAAGATATTCTTGATCTTGATTTTTGAATAGAAAACGAAACATCACCATGAAACATATTTGCATCAAAATTTATTGATATTTTACTACAAACTCATTTTTTCATTGAATCTAGGATAAAAATTGATTCAAAGAAGACTCTCTTTGACTTGCTTACATGATATGCTAAACGATTTTTAGCACAAGCTGTTCAATTTATCCTTGTTCATTATCCATTCTTTAAGTGGACGACATAGTAGTCGAGAAAACAAGATCAATTTCGTTCTCTTTTCTTTTCATTAATGGAATAATAATGTGAATGCGAAAACAAGTATGAGAAGAAATTGTGTCTCTCGAATTATATTTTGTTGCAGTGTCTTCAAAATCTCAGTAACAGATAGAAGAATATTCCAATCTGTCGAAGACTCTGGTAGATTTGAACATAAAACATTATTGAAAGTTCAACAAAGAGAAACGAATTGCTTTTTACTGGTTAGTAAACCGTGTATGGAAAGGCAATTTCCAGTATGATTCATTTAATTTTATTTCAGCACATATAAACGACAACAGCCCATCATCACTAATAACTTCTGTGATCGTTCTTTGTTGTTGGCACGAGTCTGTATTATATTCAGTTAGTTGAAGGTACTTAGAACTACCTCTCAGTTGCATCTGCTACTTGTGCAATATACATATGGACAACTGGTCAACTTATGTAGAAGCACTGTAACAAAGTAATCGGTCAAACAGTAGTGAATAGGATGCAACTTTATCTTTTTGTGTCCTTTTATTATTCAACAGAAATAAATATTTCTTTTTGTTCAATATGTATTGAACATCGACGAACAAATAAGGACACATTAGAGCTACTTCGAACTGAGTATAAAACGAATGAGAAGGAAAATTTTTCTTAACTTTTCAAAATGTGAACTTGTTATTGACATTGTTGTTTAGAATAATATTAATAATTGAATGCGAATTACGAGGTATTATACGGACAATATCGATAAGAACCTAAACAAGAGTTTATATGCTAGCTGAAAATTTTCAAGTATTCGAAATCTTCGATCATAGCATTTTACAAAAACCAATGATTGTCTGTGATTTTGAAATATACCGTTTAAAAGAAATATTTGCAGTATTGTAAAGATCGAAAAAATAAAAATTTAAGACACTTCGAAAAGTAAATGTCAATTGAAAGTTTTCCAATATTGTTCGAGTACAAAAAGAGATAGCGCATTGTAGTTTACACTATTGCCAAGAAGTGACTCAGGGCTATCTGATGATCAAAATTATTCGAATCAAAAGCTTTTTCAGATAATTTTCCTAAGATTTCGGTAATTAAGAACTTTTGTCGGTAGGATATTTCTTATTTTTTTGAGTTTTGAATTATGTCATTTATATGGACAACTTTTCCATACAAATATAACTGACTAAAAGATATCTTTGTGTTTGAAAACCGATTTCAGATGCTTAAAACTTCACAGACGCATTTTCAGCAAATGTTAGACTCTTCATCAAAGTCAAATCGATCAACAGTGTATATATACACATAATTGAAATCAGAATACAAAAGTATGTCGATATGGTGTCATTGAGTTTCATTTCAAAAATTTCATTTTTCTTCTAAAAATATTGTTTCATACTATGTGAAAAGAGACAGGTATATGGTCAAAAAATAAAATGCCTACGATCAATTGAAAAAAAA